AATTTAGCCAATATGACTGTAAATATTAGCCTTGGATACCTCTCAGACATTTGTACCCTGAAAAATAATCTGCAGAATCTTGGGTACAGTTCTTGGTGCTTACTCAAGTAAGCTGAAATAGGACTATAAGCTTTCACACTACTTTGGTTCTTCTTAACACCGCTCTGAGAGTTTCCTTCTTGTATTTCTTTTTGGATTTACTACCTACTGGGAAAGTTGTGTTGTAAAAGAAGTTGCTTAATGTGAGAAGAAGGGATAATATGCAGTTGGAGTTGTTTTAAACAGAGGTAGAAGCTTGTTCCACTTTAGTGTGGTTATCATTGTTTATTTAATAATGTGTTTTCTCGATGTAAACCTTAATGGTGAGATCAAAGGCAGTTATGCTTGCTATAACTTTAGAACACAAATCCATGAAACCAACTTCTAGTTACAAATGCCAGCCTGAAAAAAACCTCACACTTTCTTCTCAGTGTGTTCTTGTCAACACACACATTCTGTACAATGTGATAAGACACTTTTAGTTAACATGTGCATGCAACCAAAATAGATTAAAGGCATGTACTGATTTAAGACAGTACAGACTAAACAATCAGGAATTTAAGGCATGTTAGAAACAGGGAGGGAAAGTAATTGTGCTCATTTATTCAGTTTTAAAATGAAACAAAAAATATTACATAGCTTTCTAAATGACAGTCAGAAATTAGTCTTTTGAAACAGTAAGCATACAAAAAATCGAGTTTAGGAATATGAGAAAAGCACTCTAAGTTTACTAAAAAGAAAAGTAAGTACAGTAGATTGCCCCACTGTATTTGCATATGTATAATGAAAGTTCCAGCAGTCAGCTGCTTACTTTATAGTATCTTTAAAAACTTTAATAGGGTGTTGTTCCTCTGGTCTAGAAGAATCTGGCCTTTATGTCCTTATCAATGCCTGTGTAATTCCCCTTGCATGGGATGCAAGTTACAGACTTGTAATAGATGACAAAATTGTCATGCAGTCAGAATTCTGGTTTAACTCACTACATGCACAGTGCAGCAGAGCTAGATACCGTGCTGGGATCTGCAACATGCTCTGCTTTCCATGCAATATGCTAAGCATTCTCACATCACAGAATCTTAGGTGTTCTAAAGAGCGCTGAGGAAACTAGCTCATTTGTGTCCTGAAGGGTAGGTAATTCCTATTTTGAGTCCTTATTCTTAAAATGAGTTCTAATATATACTAAAAACCTTGCAGTTCTGCAGTGTCTATTTAGCCAGCCTAAAGAAATCACTGTGAAGTCCTAACACTGCTGTCAGATGAAAAGGCAAAAAGAAAAACAAATAGCAGAAGTCAAAATCATTTTGCATTAACTCTCACACTCTGTCCCTTAAAATGCATTTTTTGTTCTTGTTAAGATTTGGTTTTGCCAAGCTGTTGTTCAGATTCCTAGTAATCATTACAGGTTGTTAAAATTGCCCTTTTCATCATGCCTTTGATATGTAAACTGACTTTTCTTGTATTAGGCTGTGAGAATGGTAGATGATGCTTCCCAGCTGCTGGGACAGACAAGGCATTTCATGACAGTTTCATGAAAAATACTCTGTCTTGTCTCTTGCAACCCCCACACTTTTCTCTCCAGATCAGCCTTCTTCCCCCTCAAAAAACGTGCAGCTAGGTCATGTTGCCTAACATCTTATTCCCCTGCTGCTGACCCAGCCTAGACATGGCATCAATACTGGGGTAGGATATGGCAGCTTCCTCAAGGCAGAAGGGAGCATGAAATAGGAGAAATTGAGCTGAAAAGTTCTCAGGGGATGAGGGGGGTGTATTACAAGTTGCATACTTTAAACAAGTGGAGTGGAATCTCCTGGAACATGCACACAGATATTAGCTGCTTAGATTTCTATCACTTACAGGCAGTTCATACCAAGTCAGGGAAGTTCAATCAAGTTTGAGATAATATGAAAGATAGGGCAAAAGCAGACTGATCAAGTAAGTCAAAGTCATTTAAAAAGGTCCAGCAGAAAGTGATTGGGTCTCAAAAAATGAGGCCAGCAGCTAATACAAAATAAAGCAACCCACTTTCATAGAAAAAAGCAACCCACTTTCTTAGGCAGACAAAAAGCATATGCAAGGGCTGTTATTTTAGTGCAGCTGATGTGCTCAAGAGCCATATCTTCATCTGTCTTTGATAACTTGCTGCTTTAGATATACTCATGGGTGCCTCTGGCTATATGTAGCCTAAAGGCCAGCAGTCAAGAATAAAAGGTGCAAAACTAGTATTATTACCTGTTTGTTAGGAGGTTTTGCGCTGTCTTTAGGATTAGAGAAAATAGCATGAGGACAGCGATGCTCTTAAGTCCAGGCTTTTAATTCAAAAGGACAATCAAACTGCCTTCAGAACTGCTTTGGGCCAGCTGAGCAGCAGACTAAGAACAAGTACCTGGCCCAGTACCCCACTGTTCTATGCCACTAGAAGGGATGAGGTGGTGTTATTTTTTCTTATTCTTAGACAGGGAGATGGAGTGTTTTATGGTTTCTTCTCTTTGTCCCCTGTCTTTGCTACTACCTGCCATTGGTGAGGGTTCAGAGGTCAGAGACTCACATGTTAAGTGAGACAGCCTGAAACTTCTGTAAGGTAACTATGACTTTTAAAAAGCAAAGAAAAAATTGAATGTCTTAGAAGAAAGACAGAGGCATAATTAATATTAAAAATCACATAACTATTGAAAAATCATGTCCCAAGTTGCAGTTCAGTCAGGTAAAAGAAGTTACAACAATCATCAGAGATTCTTTTAATCGTACCAATAATCACCCGCTATACACAAAATACCAAAATATACAGGGTCAATGGGTCATCAGGGATACTGACTTTTTAGTTAAGGGAACATGGTCAATTCAAAGTCCATTACCTACCTATACTTGTGAAAAGCAAACAGGCAACTATAAATTCACCTAATGTAGGTAAAAATTTAATGAAGGATCGTTGATCACTCAGAGAATTTGATGTAAAAAGACCACCAAGTTAAGAAGCCTCTCTCCATAGTTCTGTGGGTATTAGAGTGGTGTTTGACTTCATCAGTGGATAAGTAAGTATGAGTCGTGTTCCACCTGAATGTTACTGAGTGAGCAGCTGGGGTTGCAGGGACTTTATTGTTTTGTCCTGTAGATGTGTGTAGTATGCAAAATGCAAGAAATAATTACATTTCATTTAGAAGTTGAAAAGATCCACCCGAAGTGTAGGTTTAGCCAAGGCCACAAACTTAGGTGAGTTTCAAATACACATAGTATCTTCCCGTGCCAAAGCATCTCAAGGCTTTTAATAGATGATCTACAATACACAATACCACTGTTAAATGAATGAAAACAAGCAAATCTTTGGTTTGAGAGGCAATAGCCAAAATACTCAGCAACAAAAACAAGTAGCAGAGACAGAATGTCTGAAAATGGAAGAATGAAACAAGGTCAATAAAGAGTACCTAAGGCACCTTGTTTAATAGTCATCTTTGCTACACTCCTTAAGACCTCCAAATAACATATAAAACTGTAAATGCTAAGGAATGTGAAGATGAAACAGCTGAGGAGACTGAAGATGAAAGAGCAGAGGATAAAATACATTACTCTTATTCATAGTTAAAATTCCTATGATCAGAAGCTGTGAATAAATATATTCTTTTACATGATAATGAAGTAAAGAATCAGAGCTAGAAAAATGAAAGGAGGAACCAACAGCGCTAAGAGTAACTTCATTTGATATTCATGAGTTGCAAGTTAAAGTGAAGTAGAAAAGAAGTCTGGACTCGGAGATTGGGATATTTTCTCTAATGTCTAATGCATTTCTCAGTCTCAAGTACTACAGAAGGGGGAAATATCCCCCTTAATTTAAAAAAATAAAAGAGTGGGAGAGTCCAGTCTGTTCTTGCTTCAGGAATATGCACTGTACAGCAGGAATTTCAAACCTTTCCTTACAAAATAAAAAGAAGTATGCAAAGGAGAATTTTGAAGAGGGATGGGAATTTGTTTATTCTACAATAAATATTTTTAATCACTTACTTAGTTGAGACTTTCATCAGATGCAATATGTAGTGGACTAGTAATATAAGCTAGATCTGAGGACAGAACGGTTAAGTCTTGGTTTGGCCACTCCTCCCTGCAAATCAATACCAATAGAAAAAAAAAAAGGGCAGGGGGAGAATTCCATTACTACTCTGCCTCAGTACAAGATGGTTTGTGAAAGTGAGTCAGCTTTATTGAGTCAGCTCCCTGTTCTTATACTAGAAAATAGAGCTTATAATTAAAGCTCTCTTTAACATAACCAGTTTACTACATGTTTGCTGAACTGGGTGCAGGATGCTCAGTTTCCAAATTTAGAGCCAGAGGGAAATTCATCAAGAAAAAAAAAAGCCAACAAACCTCTATCCATTTCAGTCTCTGCCCTTGTTTGAATACTAGTTCATTTATACACACCTCTAAAAATTTCAAAACACCGTGAGAGGTGTAGGTTTCCAAATGTATGCAGCAGAACAGGAAGTTAGGTTAGTTGAACACTTCAGGGGATATAAATACTTCTAAGGTTTTTTTTTCCACAGAATTTCAGGACTATCAAACTAAGTCTGCAAGAGCCAGAAGCCTTCTTACATTTTAATGCATCTTAATTAAAAACTGTACAACAGCATGTAGTGTTCATGAAGATGATTGTTAAGCTTTTGGCATTTTTAGGAAAGCACATCAAGCTTTAAAGTAGAATAAGACTACTGTCTTTCAGTACCTAGATTTTGTGCTCACAAAGTACAAAAAAACCACAGACATTTTCACCATTGTCTGCTTTTACCTTGTGTTCTCCCCTCAGGTATGGCCCATTTCCTGTTCCCTCGGAGCTACCTTTGGCTATATGGCTGGTCTGATTATTGCACCTCTGTGGATACACTGGAACCGGAAGCAGCTTACATACAAAAGCAGATAACTGGAGCAAAGAGAGACAAGGTATTTCTTTGTGCAGATTCCATACAGACTGTGCAAAAGTTGTTTTTTTAAGATAGATATATATATATTTATATAGTCAAAGCAGAAGACTGTCCAAATTCAGTTAGAGTACTTCAGGCCAAGCATCTCCACTCATTAAAATCACATAGATGCCGTTTCAGCATGGTGCAGTTTTTGCTTCCTCTAGACTATGTAACCCTGAGAGATTGTACCTTCCAGTCTGAATAAAATATTTGTAACAGGTGTGGTGGCTTCTTATTACAAGTTTGTTGACTTTGATTTTATTCCTCTGGATTTCACTGGTTGTAGAAGGCAGAATCGTAGGTTCAGCTTTCAAACCTGTAACAAGTTCACTATGTACTTAATGCATTGTATTTAAAATCAGTAGAATTTCACAGTAAGCCTGGCCATTGTCAAATGTTTCTCACGTGATCAAACAGCAGTTTATGCATCTTGAGCCTATTCTCTTCTTCACTGTGTGTTTCTTTGGAGTCAGAATGGCTATAATAGCTTCATCAAAAACGGTCTTCAGTCCTTTCTGTGTTAAAGCTGAACACTCCACATAGCAGTAGGCTCCTATCTGTCAAGAAAATAAGTTAATTCAATAGCAATATATCTCAGCTGTTCACTTCCATCTGTGCACTTCTGCTTTTTTCCCCCCTCTATGGTGACATTACAATGTTTGGCTGCAATCTAGAAAAGTTATCTCCATAACTGATGTGCATCCCGGTGTAGGAAAAAATAAGATCTGTCTTTTGACCAGAGATCTGGAAGGTATTTAAATTGGTTGGTTTATAAAGGAAACATATTAAATAAACTCTTTAGATTGGCAGTGGGGTCCTAAGGTATGTTTGATAATTAAACAGCAAAAAAGAATTACATGACCAATTTGTGTTTCAGAAATAAGACTCTATAAGTAAGTGTCCTGATAAGCATTATCCACATAGTAGTTAAAATGGTAGTATAATATTCTCAAATAATTTTTAAAAGATGCTTAAAACATTTTGCTTGAGCAGAAGAGGTCCCTTCTTACCTCAAACCAGTCTGTGATTTTAATCATCTTATATAGCTTTTACAGGTGTCTATGCAGAAAATTAGAACTATTACTAACAGGAAAGTGCAATTACACAGGTCTGCTTGTTACCTCTATTCAGCAACGTAAGTAAATATTGTCAACTGGTAACCAGTCACAAGGTTTCGTACACGGACCGGTAAAAGAAATGGGCAAAGTGGCAAAAGGAGTCAAGTGGAAATAGGGGTTTTTTTTCTTTGTTATTTGGTTTCATTTAGGAATATCCAGTTTACCTCTTTTGCTAACTTCTGTCCTTGCTCCACAGATATGGGCTTCTCTTTCATATCATTCAGTCTTGCCAGAGTTTTTGGGTCATCACGAAGATCAATCTGGCAAGAAAGATCACAGTCATGTTGGAATACTTTTTTTTAAACAACAGTCAGCAGACAATATGATACCCTCTTTTTAAAAGATAATTATTTAAAGGAGTGTTACGTCTATTAAAAGGGAGTCATATCATGTTTAAGATCATGGACCATTCCTGATCTAAAAGCCCTAAATTTAAGCTGTGAACGACTACCTTTAATCGAGAAGGACCTAACATTTATTCTGTAATTCAGCTCTTCAATTAGATGTGATCATCTCAGAATACCAAAATGTGTATCCAGCAGCAGCAGAAAGATTAACTCAAACAGGATACCAAGATGTGGGTCACTTCGTAGATGAAGCTCAGTCCACTGCCCACGAGAAGCAAGAGGAAATTGTTTCACTTCTCCCCTTGCTCCTTTACTTCAGCAAATATTGCATATGATTAATAGCTGTGGACCCAAGTATTTCCAGTAACATGGGCATGGGCAGACAATTTTGTTCCCGTAAGTCCCATGACTTTTTAGAAAGTCAGATGGAGATATGCAGCCAATCTTGCCACCCTGTTTACAATGGGTATAACAAGTTTTTTTTAAACAAAATAGAGGTAGCTCATTAGAGAACAACACAGATCTAGGTTTCTCTGCCACCTGTAAAGGTTGTTGCTCCAAAGGCAGAAGGAGGTGCTGCTCAAGTCCTGTTGGGCCTGAACTTTCAGCCCGAAAAAAAGCACCATACAACGATCCTAATTGTTTAAATAAAGTAGAACAGAACCAGATATACCTGTGTTCCTACTAGTAAAAAGGGAACATTAGGTGCATATTCCTTCAACTCCGGTACCCACTCTTCCTTCACATTTTGAAATGAAGCAGGGTTTACCACTGAGAAGCAGATAAGGAAGACATCGGTCATAGGGTAAGATAAAGGTCTCAGACGATCATAGTCTTCCTAAGGAAGAAAAATTCTGTTATCTGCAATATTAAATTGTTGCCTGTATTTTGTTAATTTTAAAAGTTATATTCAGAAACTGTATTCAGATTTCACAAATGTTGTTGAGGGAAACTTTCTGAATGATTACACCTTTTCCGGATTAGTTAGTGTGGCTGCTAGAGCAATATCTGCATATAAGGGTAACTGTATGTGAATTTAAGTATTCTGGAAAGTGTATTAATACTGATGGAAATTTACTTCTGTACGAGAATATACAGTGTAAAGACTACCCTTTAAAAAGTTTATACTTGAAAAAAAAAGGCTTATGGTTCAAACACACTTGCAGATCAAAGGTTGGTTATCTGTAGAGAAATAAGCAGATGTGACTGCTGCAGAGCCATCCAGGCAAGGTTATACAAACGTAGGCTAGATTAAGGGTATTTAATGCACTTGAATGTTCTATTTTGGATCAGATGTAGAGGTGATATTTAAGGCCCTCCTTGAATTTTATTTCTTAGAAGCTTTACGGTCCTGTTGCTAGAGATCAGTGCAGTAGGATCTTTTGTCTAGACTGTGCTTTCTGTAAGCAAGCCCAGCAAAGGGTCAGAAGGAGCAGAAATCCAGGATCAAGGCTATCAGGGGAATATTAATGCCTTTTGTTTGGGGAGGGGTTAGTGTGAAAAGATTATTATTTGGGTCATTTAGGGCCACAGCATTTAGAGCCACCAGTCATACTGCCAGGGCATACAATACTGTGGCAAGACAGGCATCTAGGAGCATCATCCCTATTGTAATCATCCCCATTCTAGCAAGAGAGAAAGTGGATTTTTGCCATGTATTTTAGCTAACATCAGAAGGGAACATGCCCCAGCTTCTCTCTGCAAGGCTTCCTTTGGTTTTTGGCAATGAACCAATGCCTTTCCATTTCTACCTTAGGTTTTGGTGTTGCTTTTAACATAGACAACTAAGACTGAGCCCAGGCATTGCAGAGACAGTGTCAAATGCTGGATTTATGCCTTTTCTTCCACAATAAACAGCAGTTTGTTATGGCTGTTGCAGCAGCCTCCCTCTTGCCCATGTAAGCTCCCCATCTTAATTAAATCTCACAAATATTGGAACGATTTGTTCATTAAATGTAGAGACAGAAATGTAATTCGACTCCATGTTTGAAATGAGCCAGAAAATTAGATTTTTGTTTCCTTGGCAACAGTCACATTACCAGATTATTAACCTATAGTCACACCCCTAAAAAAAGCCTTCATTGATTGTTATGTTTTAAACATGGTCACTAGAATTTCAGAAAACACGTAAGAACTTCTTCAGAATCATTTCTGCTAGGCCCATCTTTCCATTTGGAAGTCAACAGCTACAAGAAGAGGGCTGTTATTCTCATCATGAACTGGAGAAAAGACAAGCACAGGCAGAGATTCTGCACTAGCAAGGAGGTGACCATTGACCAGTATTCTTCAGTGCCTATTTTACAGTGTTCTGAATTGTAATCAGTATTCTCATGTGCCATTTTGACTATAGGCTCTACTGTCAGCTTTGTATACAGGTTTGTCAATAAAATAGAGCATGCTTAGTTGTTAACATGGGTTCCCAATTTCACAACCACAGTAACTGGCACCACTGTGAAACTACAACATTTGGCAGGCCTTTTCCCTGCTAGTGTCAGGCTCCTGCCCTGATTCAAAAGAAAAAAAGCAGTAACCNTTTTCCACATCTGTGGACGTTCATCATAGAAAGCAGAAATAACTTCAAGAACACCACAGCAGGTTGAAACTCTTTAACATTCAATTCTTTTTTAAGCATGTATTTTACGTTTTACTTTTACTACTGAATATAGTTAGATCCTGCTCATGGTTGTTCATGTTTTTCTGGGGTGGAGATCAAAATCCTAAAAGAAGCTTCCCAACTGCAAATTACGCTGGTCCCTGGAGTACAAAATCTGCATGCAAGGACACACAGGAGGATCTGTCAGTTGCTCTCAAATTCAGCTTTACTAAATCATATGTGGAGAGTATTACTGAATAAGTTTCTTTAAAAGAAAATATCTAGTTTAAAGCCATAATTTGTTCCTACCACCAAAGAGCTGCCATCACTACACTCAACATTTTCTAAAAATCTCACATCTGGATTACAATAACTAGAATACTGTCTGCACTGGATGCTGGAATGCAGAAAGCATTTTGCTGTCACCGGAAATTATGTTAGTCCATTAACCTTAAAATACCTCTTTAGTTAATCCATTTCAAATTACAGATGGACCTTTTATTCATAGTAAATATTAATCATTTTCTTAAAGCTGATCTTGGATCTGAACTCCTTTCCTGCTCCTGCATCTGTTTATGTGCCTTTTCATTTATTCCCTGTCCCATCTGCACTGGGCAAGCTGTGGGTCCCTCCAGTGTAATTAAGAAGTTAACCTGAAGGGGCAAGTACAATGTGATTGGATACATCACGTACCACGGCTAAAGATGTACATGGTATTCGCAACAGTGACTTCACTACATTTATGCTTTCTTAAATAATCAGAGAATTTGGCTATACCCACCAGTCCTGCTGCTTGAAACCCGTCAGTGCTGTCAGGCTCTCCTTTCAACCTTGCCTGTAGCTCTGATCATTAGATTCATATTGATATTAATAGTGGCAGGTAGTTCTAACAAAGCCTTCCACCACATGCTTAGACTGATCCTGGGTCCTCCTGAGAGAGACCCTGCTTAAATGTTACCAACATCTAGTAGGCTGTTTGTGCCTAAAGACTCCTTCTGCTCCCCAACAACCCCTCAGAGATAGCAATCAAACCTGTAAACTTTCTGTGATGTATTGGGCCTACATAACTGCTGGACTGGGTAGAAGAATTTGAAATACCAAATTAATTTAGACTTAATGTTAGAGAAGCCTGGAAAAATCTTATTGCTTTAACTATAATTTATTTCCTGAATCTAGTGTAAAGGAAATGAATGTGGTTTATTCTAAAATTAAATGCAATGGCAAAATTAATTATACTAGCCAGTCAAGTTAAATTGCAATTTGAGTGCATGTACACACCACGCTGTATGGCAGTTAGACTAATTAGACAATCTAATTGGAGGAGACACTGCATATATATTTAGGCATTAAAAATAAATTTAAAGAATTTAACTGGAATATTTTAAGAATGTGAATAAGGTGGGCAAGAAAGCCACTAAGGATCAAAATAATCAGTTATATGTCTCAAAAACTCCAGGCTATAATAGTGAAAAGGCATGTTCTCCAACATACTCTGAACTTTAAAAAAAAATTGCTTGCTGTTTGCTGAAGCAGGTGAATACAGATAGAAAAATATGCTGAAAATACGAGGGATGTAATAAGTTTAAACTAAATTGGACACAAGTATGTTGACTTAACTAACATGATATGATATGATCCCTATAAAACATGACACTGCAGCAGGACTGTTCATCATTTACCTAGTATGCCTGTATAAACCCAGAAGAGCTGCCAATACCCAGTACACATGAAAAAGGAGATGACATGGAGAAAGTAATGACTTGACTTGGCTTCTCAACTACAAACTGGGCTTTTTGTTTTGTTTTTAAGAGTGGAGAGTGGAAATTCATACAATGAAAATTCATATTTTTAAATTATCACGTCACCCTACTTTTGATATGCTGCAGGTATGTCTAGCCCCAGTTTTGATATTCTGCAGGTATATCTAGCATTGCCTTTATCTTACTTCCTTAAAATCTGTCCTTTAAGTCTCTTTTTCCATGTTACAGTACCTGATAATCTGCCTGAGATTTTCTCTTCCTTCTCTTTGAATACTGAATCACTGATTTTCATTGTATTTTGAATGTTGAAGTGGATTTGCTCTCACATATTCAAAAACAGGTCTTGAGAAACTTTTTGTATGCAGACTGAAGAATGATATTGCAATTCTGCAGCATTATATTCTTCCTCATTTCAAGAGTTTGTTCAGACTAAAAGCTGAATGCATTTCAAGTCATACATTTGATTCTGAACTAACACTTTTGCACAATTCCATGCATATCAGCTGAGAGACACATTTAAAACCACACAAACTATATTCCTAACTCTGCCACTGACACAATATGTAGTCCTGAGCAAATCATTATATCTCTATTTGCATCTTCCCATCTGTAGAGGTTTGCTAGCTGCGTAATGCATTAATCTTTGCAAAATGTTCCTTTGAGCTACACACCTTATGTGCAGTGGAATATTTTTTAAAAAATAAACTAAGAGAAAGCAGAGTATTATTATTTCTGAATAACCTTCTTGACACACAAAAAGCATTATTTCCTTATATTTATTAGAAAACTGAAGTGAGAGGTGCAGGCATACAGGAATTCTGTCATACTAGAGACTCTGTAGCTCCTCTGTTTCATGGTTATCATGCTCTTCCTGGCCCAAGTTGAAGTGATGGGGACAGAGACAGAGGTCCTTACCCCTCTGTCAGTAATGTGAGACCGTAGGCCTTCTCATCTGGAATGGTATCAAGGTCTCTCTATCCAATTTGGAAAGATGAACAGCTATTAGACCTTTGCAATCAATACCTTCCCACATCTTGATCAAGACATTTGAGGAAATTCACACCTCTCAGATCTGTCGCCACAGGTAGTAAAGACAATGTTAAGCTGGATCTGTCCGTTTGATTTTTATTTCCTTGCTAATATGGGGGCCAGTGTCTTTAAGCAAATAGGAAAAAACAAGTTCTGGTATGTCAGTAACACTGAGGCAGGGGCCCAAGGTGTTTTAATCCACACTAGGTGTTTTGTACTCTGATGAAACAAAAGTAGTGAATCATTTTATGTCTTTTGCAGCTTAGGAATGAAATTTTAACAATGCACCTCCAGTTCTACTGACATATGCTTATAAACAAAAGCATAATCCTATTTCTTTTCTATTCCAAGAGGCATAAAGTCGATGGCAGAGAACAAAATAAAGCTTGCACCACTGGAAGAAAATCTGGAGCTCAAAAACTCTGGGTTTGTGATCTCTGTGTTAGCAACCATCTG